TAGTATAGACAGCAAACAGCTAGTAATACCTACGCGTTATTGACTACACGTGAGGACAACTGAGACGGCTGGATATTTGCCAAGTTATTTTTTGCGTTGAACTCTGACTGAGACAAGATCGAGGTCAAAAAAGCACAAAAAAATAAATGCTGTAAATAAATAAATAAATAAAAACAAGAACAAGGCAGTAGAAAGACGTTCGCTTTACCTTGCCTGCTTGCTGATTCAGTCATATAATATCATGATTTATAATTTTAATAGATTTGGTTTTGGATTCTTCTCCACTTAAATGTCTTAAATAGTTACTCTTGAACCACGATTGAAGTTCGAAATTGTTCTTAAACTTCTTGGTTACTATATTGTTCTAGAGGTATACAGTGTTAACTAAGCATGATCAGGAAACAAAAATGAAGTGAGATCGTTTTGAAAAGAAAGGCCCCAAAATTGATTCTTGAGGAACAACGTGTTCGATAGTTTTCCTGTCTGAGTGGGAATTACCAATCTTGACACGTTGCAGTCTTTCACAGAGATATGATCCATTTCAATTATTTCACTAACAGCGAAGCCCTAAGCTTTTAACTTGAGCACAGGTGAATAGGTTATAACAAGTAACAGAGTCTTGGTTCCTTTGATACCGGTCAACTACAATGGCGACACAATGCTCCTCATTGTCCACTGAAATCCGCTGTCATTTCAAGGAGAGCAGTTGCACATGAGTGAACCTTTAGAAAGTCAGATAGACTAATATTCAGCACTTACTTTGTAAAGTCGAACATCTCATCATACAGAACAATTGAATTCGAATCCTAGAACACCCAATCACTACGTGGAGACTCCATCCTCAAATGTGCTGAGCTACAGAGAGACTCATAGAGAGCAAGACACATGGTTTATTAGGGGGCGCTTGCTAGCCTTACACTGACCGTGAGGAGTCTTAAAATGAGGTGCGTTCTCTCCCCATTACCCTATCCGTTCTCAAAAAGAGGACAGTGATGCCTGAGCTACCCATGTCAAAAAAATGGCCGGTCAGATCAGTCTAGTCGCAAATAGAATTCAAGCAGGTGCGGATCTAGGATAAATACTGACCGATTTCCTAAAATGAACGAGCGTCGAAGGCGCAAGCTTTCTTGGGGATCCGGAGGTATGCTCTCCCAGGAGAATTTTTGAAATTAACTCCCTTACAATCTCCTTTTCTGTGTTTCTGAGACATTGAGACCGAATATAGCCAGTTCCATTCGCTTTGGATGAAGCCTTGCAACTTGGAAAGTTTTTTCTCTATTAAAAATGTATTATGAAAAATCTGACCGATTTCGGTAAAACGGTGCAAACCGGTGTGGATCCGCGCCTGTGACAATTGCAATAAGTACTACCTAACCAGGTTAATCTATTCCTGAATAGTATGACAGAGATGGGCTTCAACAAAACTTTTGAAAAAGGGAATATTTTTTTCAAAATGTCTGTCTTTTGGAAGCGCCCAAGGTTTATATGCGACATGTTTTTGCTTATTTATATTTATTTTCACGCAAAAAGACTTGACGATAAAAGCTTATGGGTTGTGTTAGGTTAACTACATTATGATACAATGAATGTTTTATCGGTAGATTTTAATTTCTAAAGCTATACTAGAAATTCGTGTATCGCAGAACCTCGAAAAACTCCGGGGGGGGGAAGGAGGCCCATAAAATGTCAGGGGTAGAAGGGGTGAGAGAACTGGAATAAATTGTGTAACTGGAGAGGGCGGGTTTCAACACTGGCTCTAATATTGGAAGGTAAGATGTAGTTAATCCGTTGGTGGGAGTAAATTTAAACCCAGTGCTCTGGCGTTAAAAAGTATATTCTGGGATTTAAATGGGGTTATTGTCCTTAAAGAAGGGTAGCTAAATGTTGCATAGGTCCCGTGTTCACCCCATTTGACCCTTCTACATGTGTAATTATTGTAAAAAGAAAATAGGTGTGATAGTGAACAACTGCAGGCTAATATTCAGTTGCATTTGCTTAATAAAAGCTGACCCATGCCATCTCTAATACTACAGAAGTGTAATTATATATAATCATTTGTGAAGTGTGTCAGCAGTAGTGAGTGGATGGAATGATAGGAGATATTGCTGTAGTGAAAACAACAAGTAAATGCTGGTAATTGGAGGAAAAAATATTTATTGTTAAGTGAACTACAGCAATGAGAGTGTTTTCACTTGTTTTAGTAGATAATCACTCTTGAAAACTAATTGTTTGCAACAGTAAAGGTGCAAACATAATCACTAAAGTAGAAATTACATGTAGCAATGTCATTAACGATGCAGTTCATGAGAATTATGA